TAGGGGCTAATACTTCTGCTTAACATGCAGACAGCCCAGGTTCGAATCTCGGAAGGGTATGTCTGGCTGATGAAAACCAAATAAGGTTAGAAATAGCTATCCCAGTACTCCCTTAATTCTTTGTTAGCAATCCAAATTTTGAAAAACACATATGATGTCGCAGTTAAGCGACTGCTGCCTGTGGATGGCTCTGGATTGAACTGATGCAGGCAAAAGACTTCTCTCTCCCATATTTGGGCTGACAGGCACTCATTATCAAATATTTATAAAGTCCATCTTTCAATTCATTCAGTGCTTCTCTCTACTAACAGAAATATTCCAACTATTCCTGATCTGATTTAACAGTATTTGAGTAATGCTGCTATATGCAGTAAACCTTTCTTGCACTCTTGGTGTACAATGAATCTTTGTTTGAACGGACCTTGATGGTTAAAACTCTGCTGCTCTTTGCATCATTTCATTAAATAACACAGCTTATATTATTTGTATGACGTCATCATTATACCAATAATTTTCACTAAAATGCTGTAGTGCACGGGTATCAAATCCGATCGCATCACATGACGTATCGTGACTTTTTTTGCCTCTGCGGAGCTGGTGTGTGCGTGGCCCACGCATGACGCATCCGGCCAGCGAGCCATCAGTTTGACACCCCTGCAGTAGTGGGTTTTCAGGAATAACGAACATCTGTCACTGGTCAATGTGTTAAATTAGTTTTAACAGTACAGTGTACATTTGTGGCCACAGGTTTTTACAAAGGTGAAAATACTGAAAAGAGTCACCAAGTGATGACATTACTGGAGCCCTATAAGAAAAGGTTCGTAGTGGCTTAGGGGAAAAAAGGCAAATGGAGAACTTTATGAAGGAATAAAAAATTATGCAATCTGTGTCCTATAATACTAAACATCATATTTTGGAATTTTCTGTCACGTTATATTGACAGATTATATTTTTATCTAGCAATAAAAAATAAATTCCAGTTCTGATCAGTAGATTCTACTGGAAACAGCTTCCTAATGTATATCTGATCTGTTCATCCATCATATATATCTGATCCACCCACCCCCATATAAATAGCTGCTCTTTCACTGTAAAATGGGCACTGCTGTTTGTTAAGACTTGTTTAGAATGAGGATGAAAGTTGAACAAGTCCAGTCTCCCAACAGAAAATAGTATGGCAATCTTTATCAGATGTACAGTACACATGGTCCTTGACTTATGACTGGTCATTTAACCACCATTCAAAGGTATCCTTGGAAAGAATATTTTTCTGCCCGTAAACACTTCCAGCCATCATAAAATGCTATGTTCCCCCTACCCCATAACGACTGCATTTTAGGCCCTTGGGAGGGGGCTCCCATTTACAACTGGTTGCCAAACACTGCATGATCAAGTGATTGCCATTTGCAATCTTCACTAGCTTTCCCAGAAAGTCAGTGGGGAAGCTGGCAAGGAAGTTTGCAAGTACTGTAGAGGGAATAGAGGGGAGCCCAAATCCTGAAGGCTACAGAAATGGCACTTAAAACCTGAAGATTTCAGCATGGTTTCTGCAGCCCACTGAAGGATTTTTCCTCCATGCATGGAAATTTGAAGTTTTAGCATGGAGCTGAAATCCTGGCAAGCAGCAATTTCATCCTGTCCACTTATTGATCTAAGAGATTGCTCAATGAACAAAACTGGGAGTGTCAGGATTGTGGTTGAGCAAAGCAGTCGTGTGAATGTCTAACTATCGATA